AATTCATTCATGTTGTTGTGTATTCCTTTTATGTTCCATTGTAGTACGTAAAAAGTCATTGTCCGATAAAAAAATTAACGTCCGGAGTTCCTCTTATTTGTACATTTAAATTTTCGTCGACACTGCTTGGGGATATGAAATAGCTATTGCTTTGAATTAGTTGTTGACTGATTCGAGTCATAGGCGAGTCAGTTATTAGGCTTGCTGTTGTCGGGTTTGTGCTTTTGTGAGTTGTAGCTGTTTTTAAAAACGTTGTTGTTTGTTCACTTGAAGGTTTGTCTAGATTCTGAGGAGTACTAGACGGCTCCTCGTTTAAAGAAGTTTTTTTGATGGTGTTTTCATCTATTTTATTTGTTGGTTCGTTATTGCTGTTGTTGTTGTTTGCTTGTGTTGTGATATTATTGTTGATGCTGTTGGCCTTTGCGGCGAAAGACAAAGGGGGTGATGCTCTCGGAAACTGTGCTGAGTACATTTCTCTTGCTTGTTTTAGTGTGCATTTTCTTTGAATTTTTATTTTTAGAATCTCCTTTTGTTGAACGAATTTGGGACATTTATTAGAGTTTGCAGCATGGTCTTCGTCACAGTTGGCGCATTTAATACGATCGCAGTCGTTTTGATGGGGTGGTCGGCTACATATTTCACACAGTGGATCGTTACTACAGTGTTTTTTTGTATGACCCAAACGCTGACATAATTTGCACCGCATAGGGTTTGGGAAATACTCCCTTACACGTGCTTTGTGCCATGAAATGTCAATTGTTTCTGGTAGCCTATATAGGTCGAAAGTGAGTAAGATTACTCCGCTAGGCACTGCTTTGTTTTCAATCATTCTTGTGAACTTGAAAATATCGACCACTCCCTCAGCAGCTAATTCCTTTTTTATTTCTTCATCGGATAGATTTTTAAGGTAAGGTGCGAAGACCGTGCCTTTAACGTAATTAAGATTTTCATGTAGTTTGCATTTAATCTCACATATACCTGGTAGTTGTTTCGTAGAAATGAATTTGTTAGCACTTTTTTTGTCTTTTACCAGCAACAGCAAGTTACCGTCCCTAAGTTCCGTAATGGTTTCTATGTCTTTACTTATTACCTGTAACGATCTTTGTACAGCAAAGCATGAATAGTGGGAAAGAGGCTTTTGTACATTTGTGGAGGAAACTACGACATACTTAGGGTTAGTAAGGTTTGTGGGGCTGGCTAGTTCGGGGAATTGTATAAGCTGCAGGTGTTTGTTACTATATGAATAACTGCACTTAGAAAGTATAGTAGAGTAGATAGAAAAAAACGCAATCAAGAACACAACCGTACGCGACGAATGCTAGTCGATGACTGAGCTCTTAACTTTAAAATTTGTTGTGAAAAGAAAAAAAATTTAGCTTTCGTTTTTCTGGAAAAAATTGAGTTGACCCTTTTTCGAACCATCTCAACCAGCTTGGGCCACTACATCGGCATCGCCTTCCGAAGAGGAAAGTTTATTATATACGATGACCTAAACGACATAGAGATAGCTACGAAGTCAACGCACAAAATGTTGCTAAGTCTTTTAATTTATGTAATTATATAAATAAAAAAATGTTATACCCATCGAAATCTATTATTTCCTACTTTTATTAAATATCACTTCAAGCGCTACGTAGTAACTTTCTCGATATCTCAATTCCATCGACAATGGAAGTTAGCGCTACATACCATTTTCTCTTAAACCACGAAAGCTACAAATTGTTTCTTTCCACAACAAATTTTAAAGTTAAAAGCTACAATTAATG